CTGCCTTTTTTTTTTGTTCCCTCCGCCGTTATTGTTCCCCGCCGGGAGGGACCCCCCGGGCAGCCCCCCCCTTGTGTCACGCATGGATGGCCAAAAAAGAGGGGAAAAAACAAAGAAAAGGGGAAAAAGAAGGGGGGAAGAAAGAGAGAGAGTAGAACGGTGATGGTTTCCTTTAGAAATGTTATTTTCTTACACATTTTATTTTTTATTTAAAACCACAAAAACACCAAAAAAAAATAATGATGAAAGAAAGGAAGGAAAGGGGAGCGACAGGATCTCTGCACAACGGGGTTTGTCTCCTCTTGGGGTAAGGAGCCAGGGGAAGGTCACAGCAGGGAGAGGGGGCTGGAGGGGTGTTGGGTGCCCCCACAGTGGGGCTGGTCCCCACCGAGGGAGGGGGAGTCAGCAGCTCAAGGGGGGACTCTGAGGAGCTCCAGGAGCTGGGAGGAGTGGAAGGGACCTGGGTGGGGGGGAACACAATGCCTCTCTGTTTCTATGTCATTTGTGAAGCACTTTCAGAACCTGCATCCAAAGATGGGTCCAGGCTTGCTGGGGTCCTGGAGAGAGAAGCCTCTGTGTTATTTTGGATGTCACCAGTTTAATTTGCTTCATTAGAGAAGCTGTGGTACCCTGACATTCTTCTCCTGTATCACGTGCTTGGTGGTGTTAGTGAGGCCATGACAAAGTGTCCTTGATCTTCTGGGTTTGATGTTTGTTGTTTCTTTTTGCTGAGAGTGGATTAGTGCATCCACCTAAAAAGCAAGCAGGAAACCAAGGGGCCTTCTGAGAGGTGGCAGGGCTTGGGATGAAAGACCTCAGGGCAGAGGGCAGGGCACTGCTCTGGAGCCCAGCATGGAAACAGTTCAGTGGTTGCAGCAGAAGACCTCCCACCAGCTAAGCCTGGGGTCCTAAACCTGTTGTTCTCCTTTACAGGGAGACACTGATCTGCAGCATCCAAAATGCCCCTTTCCCAGGCTTCAGCTGGTTCTGCTGCATCATGGGCCAAAGAGACCAAGGTTCCTACCAACACAACCCAATGCCACCATCTCCACGATGGTGTACACAGTTGTGTCATAGAACCATAGCATAGAATCACAGAATGGATTTGGGTTGGAAGGGACCTAAAAGATAATCTCGTTCCAGCTGCCCTGCCTAGAGCAGGGACACCTTCCACTAGACCAGGTTGCTCAAAGGCCCATCCAATGTGTCCTTGAACACTCTGAGGGATGGGCCAGCCAGGACTTCTCTGGGCAACCTGGGCCAGTGTCATGGAAGATAGAAATGGTCTTGCTTTAGGAGGCTGTGATGGGTACAAGGTTATGGCTGGACCCAGGGGCAACTGTCCTTGCTCTCTGGATTTGTGTGGTGAGTTTCTCACTGCTCAGCACACAGGAGAAAGCTATGACTTGCCAAAGTGTGCCTGGGCCTTGGGCTGCTTGTCTGCCTTTGAGAGGTCTCCCTTATTTTGTTTCATTTCCTTTCTCTTTTGAACACCCTGGACAATGGGTGGTATCAGCACACACTGCAAAGTAAAAGGCATTGAATGTATTGGTGAGCCTCCTGGTGGGATCCCTCTGTCACAGGTCATTAGGAAAGCTGAGGTCTCCAACAGCCATTGATTGGGCTCTTCAGATGATGTACAAGGGGGCAGAGGTGGCTCTGCAAAGCACAAAGTCTTCAGTGGAAATTTGCAGGTGTCCTTTGATTTCCTTGGTGACCAAGGGGCCACTAGACCTGCTTGGAGAGGGCTGGTTGGTGTTTAACTGGGAAGACCTCCATGTTCTCACCCTGGTCAACAGGTCAAATCTTGCCAGGGTACCTTCAAAAACAGAGTTTTGATAAGAGATGAAGGGGCCAGAGCCTGGCCCTGTTCACATTCATGTCACTTCTGGACCCTACAGGAGCCGGTGTAGATTTACAGCAGCAGAAAATTGGTCCTGAGCAGCAACACAAGGTATTGACCCAGCCCCAAACCCATGACAGAGCTCAGTGTGACCGGGGAAATGAACCCCCTGCTGGTTTGGTTGGTTTGTTTACAAGTTTCTGCTCACCTTGGTGCTTCTGCCATGAGCTGGGAGAAAGCAGAACATGGGTATGAAACATTTTCTGTGGCAGTGGTTGGCTCTTTTAGTCAAGGGAATGAGGAGAGGATGAGGAGGAGAAAGGAAGAGGAAACCATCCTTGAATATACTGTGGGAAGGCCAGGGACATGATGGGATGAGGTGGAACAGCAGCTGCACCAAGGGCCCGAGTTTCATGGAGATGTGCTGGGGTGGGTGGGGAGGAGCTTGTGCAGCTACAATGAGCCCTTGTCCCTGGCCCAGGAGGTCACAACTGAGATTTTTTCTTTTTAAAGCTAATAGAATATACAGACTCTGCACACAGAACAGCTTAGGATTTTTTTTCCTTTCCATTTTCTTCATTTTGGGACTCTGAGCAGTGAAAATGTCTCTTTCTAAGCCACCTTCATTTCAGTAACCAGCAGCAAATATCTCCAGGGTCTCAGTCTGGAGGTGGCAGCCACAATTTGTTCATCTCAAACTACAAGTTTTAACTGAACTTTGGATAAAACCCCCAGAAAGAATTACTGTTCTCAGTTGGGGACAGAGCACCTCTTTCCTGTAGAAGCATCAAAGTTGGGGTGGGGAGGTCTTTCAAAAGCCATTGGTCTTGGTAATCACTTGTGTTGACGTGTACTGACCAGCATCGACAGCTCACTTACCTGTTAACAGTTAATGAACAGTTTGCTTTTAACTGTCAGGACTTAATGTTCAATGCACATGTATTTCCTTCACTCCTTCCCTTCCCGTTTCTCCTGGTGGGATGGTCATGCTGCCCTGTGGCTGATGGTGTCACTTGGACCATTTGTACCTTTTCTGTTAAAGATGCAGTCGCCTCCTGCGACCCCTCCTGAGCACCACCCTTCCTGCTTTCCCATTCCTGTTGGAATACTCTGCAGTACAGAGTGTTCTAGAGATAGAACAGGTTGTCAGTAGAGAAGACCCAGACTGGAATGGGGGGTCCAAAGCTCTTTTGTCCCTGACGTTGCTGGATGTGAATCAATAGTGTCCAACCCCAAATGTAATTGTTGCCTTCACAAATTCTGCTCCATGTCAAGAATAACTGTGTCCCAACCAAGATTATTCCTTCAGGATTTGAGCACACAAGAGTGGGTAGGGGGTTGGATGTCTGACCACATCCTCTCCACAGATCCTGAAGCCACAAGCACAGGTTTATGACCTTATTGTAGGCACCAGGAGTGGAAAACCTCTGCCTTGTTCCAGGAAAAGTTATTTTCCAACTGGGTAGTATCTGGCAAAGGATGAGAGGTTAGTGTTGGCCACCTCTTAGGTCTGCCTTGCCCTTCCTCTACACCACATAAAGAGTGACAAGGACCAGGTTCATTTCTGATGTCCCTTGTGAGCAGGTCACAACCAGAACCTGTGTGGGATAAGGGACATCCTCCCTGGAGAGCAAATCCTTTGTCTCAGAGGGAGGGATGAGTTTCTGGTGACAAAGCTCAGCCAGGAACAACCAGAGCAGGGTGGCCCAGGGCCAGGTCCTGCTCTGCAGTCACCAGCATGGTTCTGCAGTTGTCTCCCTGAGGCTCTGAGACCCTGGGCAGTGTCCATCCAAGTCTCCTCCAGCAGAGCAGGTAGACAGAGTGGGAGTCCATCTTCCCCTTTCCCAATCCTGCCTCCCATCCTGGTATGGGGCCTCCCCTGGGTATGGGGCCATTTCCCAGCAACTTCTTTTGAGGTGTTTTCATTAGCTTGACCTCAAAGTTGATCTCAAAGACAAAGGTACAGTTACCCTCCAATTCTGGTTCAAACAAGCCCCTTCAATGCACTTTATGAACAAGTGAAACCAATCGATGCTGTTATTGCACTGTCTCTGGTGTATAATATTATACATGCATCTGTAAGAGTAATTTATTTTTATTACTGTAAATAAAACTGTTAAAGTGATTTGTCAAGAGGATATAAAAAATAATTCGGGGGGATTAAAATTAAAATATTTGAAGATCTGGGTTCCTGTCCCAGGTATGTGCCACACCGTGTGTCTGGGTCTTTATTTCAGCTGAGGACAATCAAGGACAGGTTTCTGGTTTTCCATCTGTGTTTCCCCTTGAATCATGATGAGCTGGTTAAGGACAAGAGCTGCTGGAGACATGGATTGGAGGGGCTGGGAAGGAATGGCTCCTGCCACCTGGAGCCTCCACACAACAGGCTGGAGACTTTCCCATCAGGAAGCCACCTGCTGGTTACTCAGGAGGCCAAGGATGGAGGAGAATCAGTGAATGAGTAGATCTTTGAGAGGTAGTTTCTCCAAATGAAGGGTGGGAGAGGTAGCACAGTTGTACCCCGGCCCTTAACTGCCTTGGGAGGACCCCCCCCCCAAAAAAAAAAGTCAACTCTGAATCTACTTTAACTTCTTAAAATCTTTATTTTAATTATTTTCTTTATTTTATTTTCTTTCTTTATTTTTTTAAATTTTTATTTACCACATGCATAAAGTGTCAACAGTTTGGGGTTAAGATGACATTTTTTTGGAACGAATGTAGTTACAAGCAGTGCTTTGGATGGTTCTGGGTGTCCTCTCTACTCTGTACAGAAGCAGCTGGTGCTGTGACCAGCGTGGTCCCTGCCCTCCCATCACCGTGTCACGACAGGCAGAACCCACGACACTGGGAACAAACACACTGGTTCACACGTAGCAACTGGGGACGGTGGAGAGAGAGGAGCAGCAACATCTACT